CAGTAATATATATATATTTATTAAATTAAAAATTTGTGTTTATATATAATATAATTTTTCAATAAATAACTCGAAACAAGGTCTTATTTATCTTTTGGTGCTTACTATCCTAGCATGGAAAAAGAAAATGTATAACTTCAACTTACAAATAGTATTATAATATTTACTACAAACCTTAATGCTTCCACCTACTCCCCTTTTACACATAGACAGTAGAAGAGGAATATCATTGCAGCTGCTTAAACCCTCTTTCAGTATACACTTTCTTCTGATAATGGCTTCTGCAAATGGGATGTCCACTGCCTCTATCCTTTCTTCTTCCTCTAAACAGGTATATTTTTCTGATCTTATTTGTTGGGATCTTTACACTTGTGATCTTGTTCTTATTTGTTGGGATCTGCATAAAGTTATGATCTTTAGCTATTTTTTGGTCTATTGGGGTGTTAATGCAGGTGGGGTTGAAAGGAAGAAGGGTGAACCAATTGCAGGGACAGAAATTCAATAATAAGGCTTCAAAGAGCCGATTAGTAGTAAGGGCGAATGCTAAAGATATTGCATTTGACCAGAAATCAAGAGCTGCCCTTCAAGCAGGAATTGATAAGCTCGTTAATGTTGTCGGTGTCACTCTTGGTCCTAGGGGTATGTATGTTTCCTAAGCTTCATCTTCCAAATCAATGGAAGTTCTTTTGTTTTTATTTTCATGTAAAGTGTCTTGCAATGAATGAAGTCATTTATCAGTGGTGTTGGTTAGGAAAAAGTACAAGATTAAACTATAATACGTAGCGAATCAGAGAGTGCTTTGATGCAATTTTTGAGTATTGGAGATTAATAATAATGTCTTAGTGTTAGTTGAAACAAGTACATAGGAAGTTTAAAGTTTAAGATAATTGTAAGGATAGCTATTTTCCCTCTTCTGGAGGCGAAGACTTTAAACATGAGATATTTTGCAGATGTATCAATGTTATGTGTTAGTCATCCTTCCTGTAGAAATGTGAAATTGCCAAAATATAACAAGGTAAAATTTTCATTTTTTCATCAAAAGAGACTTTCCTTTTGAAGCCAGAATTGATTTTCCTCCTCCAGCATTGCTGCAGGTTTCATGCTATACCAGTAAATCAGTCATTTATTTGATCAACTCTGTTATGATGCTTTTGTAATGCTTATTTCATATGAACTCTTGATGACCTGTTACTTTTCTATAGGGAGGAATGTGGTTTTAGACGAATATGATACCCCGAAAGTAGTGAACGATGGAGTCACGATTGCTCGAGCCATAGAGCTAGCTGATGCCATGGAAAATGCAGGCGCAACCCTTATCAGAGAGGTTCGTTATTTTCTTCCGTGAAGATCATTGTTGAATTTTTCCTGTATCTGGTTAATTGTTCTGAAGACAGACAGTTAAAGAACGATTGTCACATTTATCACATTCCTTGATTTGTGTACTGAAACTTTGGAATTTATGGTGAAGGTTGCAAGCCTAACCAATGATGCTGCTGGTGACGGGACAACAACTGCATCTGTTCTTGCCAGGGAAATCATTAAGCATGGTCTTTTAAGTGTTACATCTGGTGCAAATCCAGTCTCTCTGAAGAGAGGCATTGACAAAACTGTTAATGCTTTGGTTGCAATGCTAGAACGGAGGGCTAGACCTGTTAAAGGTCGTGATGACATCAAAGGTAATTAATTTTCCTTCTTTTGTTACTGCTGGAATGGATAGCAATCAAGTATTTTGCAAATAATTTTCTTCCCACCAGCTATTGCTTCTATCTCTGCTGGAAATGATGATGAGATTGGAACCATGATTGCTGATGCAATTGACAAAGTTGGACCTGATGGTGTTCTATCGATTGAGTCATCCTCTTCCTTTGAAACCACTGTTCGTGTTGAAGAGGGGATGGAGGTATGTACCTACTTAGACGAGAATGTATTCTCCACATTTTTTTTTCTATTTGGTTGGTAGTTCAACTGTAATCAGTTAAGATCCAAGGTTTAGATGTCGTGGGTTCTGAGTTGAGAATGTGGGCTACAATATATATATATATATATATGTATGTATATATGGGTTATCATGTATATACATGGGTTTTGAGACAGAAACTGTGGGTTTTGTGCTGCTGGTGAACCCACGAACCCCACTATGGTTCTTGCACTGCCTGTAATATATGTTAATGCAAACTTTGGTCCGTTGTTTGCAGATTGATAAGGGATATATTTCCCCACAATTCATCACCAATCAGGAGAAACTAGTTGTTGAATTTGAGAATGCTCGAGTGTTGGTTACAGATCACGATATTTCAGCAATCAAGGATATTATGCCCCTCTTGGAGAAGGCAACTCAATTACGAGCCCCTCTACTCATTATTGCTGGAGAAGTAACTGGAGAAGCTTTAGCTACTCTTATTGTGAACAAGCTGCGAGGTATACTAAATGTTGCTGCCATCAGAGCACCTGGTTTTGGTCAAAGGAGGAAGGCTCTTCTTCAAGATATTGCCATTGTAACAGGTGGTTGAACTTGCCTGACCTAATTGTACCACTTTCCACAAAGTGATAATAGTATATTAGTTAAGAGTAAACTTGGTTGGAAGCTGCCTGTGTTTTGTCAGGCATATATTGAAGGCATTTGTCCAACATTCTGGTATGATTAGGTGTCTTCAGAATAATCTTAAAAGTAAAAAAAGAAAGTGAAAGCATATTATGAACTATATTAATGGAGGAACCATAGTACATTGGCTTCAAAAAATGTTTTTTTCTTTTCCTCTTTTATGATCTATTTTGGATGTGAGTTTGAGGAGGAAAGGGGGAAGAAGTAATACCCGATGCTGGTGGGATGTTAAGCCAGTAGAATTCTTAGATAATGTATAGTTTTACTCTCCTTGAATTTATAAATTTTGCAGTTTATTTAGCAATTCTGTTTTAAGCGAATCCCCTTAGTGCTATTATCCTTTCTGCTTTTCTTCGATAGTGGACTGAATTATTTTATCAAGCATCATGTCTCTAGTCTCAAATGCATCTACCTCACAAGGGAACATTTCCTGAAGTACTGATTGTGTATACTTGCAGGAGCCGAGTACCAGGCAGCTGATTTGTGTATGCCTGTTGAGAGTACCCCGGTCGAAGCACTAGGTTTTGCTAGAAAGGTGACTATCACCAAGGACTCAACAACCATCCTTGCTGATGATGTGTCGAAGGACGAGATACAGGCTAGGATTTCTCAGATTAAAAAGGAGTTGGACATGTCAGAATCAGTGTCGGACTCCGAGAAACTTTCTGAGAGAATTGCAAAGTTGTCTGGAGGTGTTGCTGTTATAAAGGTTGGTGCTGCAACAGAAGCTGAGCTTGAGGACCGCAAGCTTAGAATTGAGGATGCCAAAAATGCAACTTTCGCTGCAATTGAAGAGGGAATTGTACCTGGTGGTGGTGCTGCGTTGGTTCATCTATCAAATTATGTCCCTGCCATTAAGGACAATCTTGAAGATCCTGATGAGAAGTTGGGCGCTGACATTGTGCAGAAGGTAAACAATGCTCAAGTTACTTCAATCAAAAAGTTCTCTTGTTGTTTGTTTTATTTTTGTGAGTATGCTACCTATTATATTATAATTATGGCACCTTGGTAAGTCTTTTATAGTAATGTAACCATTTCCAATATAATTGATTGGTGAGCTAATAGCCGTACTCTAGAAATTCAGATCATAATCTGTTTGATCGGAGAAATTCGGGTTTTTAGTCATCTGTGCTAGAGAATCAACTGAACAGTATCACTTGACTTAGTGGCTTTAGCAACTTTTCTATAGTAAATTGATTGTACTGTAATGTTAATATTGAGAGGAGTAGCTAACTTCTAATCAACTCACTATCTTTTGGTGGAAGGATCAAGAACTTGCAATGTGTTAGGGCATGAGCTAAACTTCTAGGACATAATCTAGTTGGGAAACATACACTGAACAACAGATGATGACTTCGGGTGGTATCATTTGAATTTGGGAACGGGAAAGCAGTGACAACACAGGATAACGCGCAATTAGACATGAATGTACTGAACACTTGCTGCATATGTAGTAGCATATCATTTTCTTATCCTTTATTATGGTCGCTAATTGAACAAAAATCATGTGCAAAACAAATAGTTTGTAACTAGTGAAAGCCTGTTTAACAGTGTGCATTTGGATGAATCTCTTACCAAGTACAATTTAAGTTTCTTGTTTCTTCTTCTTCGTTTTTGTTCTTTTTGTAAAGTTTAATTGTGGTTGCAGGCATTAGTAGCTCCGGCATCTTTGATTGCTCAGAATGCTGGGGTTGAAGGGGAAGTAGTAGTGGAGAAGATAAAGGGCAGCAAATGGAAGATGGGTTACAATGCAATGACCGACAAGTATGAGGATTTAGTAGAAGCTGGTGTCATCGATCCAGCCATGGTAACAAGATGTGCCTTGCAGAATGCAGCCTCAGTTGCAGGAATGGTTCTCACTACTCAAGCGATTGTGGTGGACAAAAAAATGCCTAGTGCACCAGCATTTGCTCCTCCACAAGGACTTCCCATGATGTAACCGATACTTAAACAGTAGTAGTCTGGTTAAGATGAGTGTAGATCAGGCTTCAAGGACTAGAAGAGAAGGCCATGTTATTTTCAACTGGTTCTCTAGCTGTAATGTGAGCTCAGATAAAAAGTACATCGCTAGTGGGATTAGCTTTGAACTTACTCCCTCTAAGATTAATAAAATCTTAAGTTATTCACATGCCTTTCCGTGAAGTTTATGAACTGTTTCTTCTGTGGTTTACTTGTTTGATCATTGACAGTACAAAAGATAAAGAGAATTTAGAGTTTGGAAGAAAAAGTTAGTTAGACAGGAGCTTCAAAATTTCAAGTTGATCACCTGTGCAAGTGAACTGTTAGAAGTGTGCAAGACATGTATTGCAAACTTAGTCATTTTTTGCTGTTAATTGGACATAATAAAATGATAAATTCATGTGAAAAATACATGTTAATTAATATGATAAGTAACGACTACGCAGAATATATCTCTATTGGGTGGAGTCAAAAGGAATCGAAATTCAAGACTCCATAAAGATTTTATGCTCAAATGACAGTTTTAGTGCAAGGACATTTGTTTGGCAGCAAGTACCAGAGTCAAATCTAACATCGATCAGTAAGAACAAAGTATGAGCATTTGCTAATCACTAGGAAAACTTAAAAGACTTTGAACTGAATGACATCTATGCTGTAGAACTTGTTGATGCAAATGATCCAGGCAATACGCAGGGAAATTCCCTTCGTATTTCTCTTAAGAGAAGCTCGTGCAGCTCTAGAATGTTTTAACTGACAAGCAAAGGTGTTACCGATTAGCTGGAAGTAATTTCCAAGTTTGGTGGTTCCATGACCAGAGATGGTAACATTGCTGTTGCTTCACCATCTATAACCAGAGGACCATCACGTTTGATACATTTTGTTGACAGCTTTGCGCTGGATCAGAAAGAGCAACACAATTAGGAGCTACAAAATACATACTTCATTCGGTATCAATCTTCAGCCAAGAGGTACTACTTACATGTACTTGTTTTTGATTTGTCTGATGCTTACTGCCTGTACCTCAGCAATGATCTCGTCTCCTATATAAACAGGTAATTTGAAGTGCAAAGTTTGTGAAACATAGATAGCTCCTGGCTGGAGAAATTACCAAATAAAAAGAGTTAGATTTACACTAACCGATTCTTCAACATAAAACTAGTTCCCCATTCAACAGTATGCATATTTAGCTAACTTATTTAAGCTATATACACAAAAAAAAGTTTAAAGATCGTTAAGCTACCTGCATACATTAACCGATTTGAGTTGGTTAGTACCTTCTTTTCGACATGAACAATTAACACTTACTACTTCTACGTAACCTTTAAATAATCAAAATGTTAAAAACATGTTTATCTTTATCATGAAGTTGTGGATTTCGATTAGATACACGAATAGATCAACCTCTAGACTAAACACTCTAAAAACTTACAAAATGGGCAGCAATAATCCTGGGAAATAAGGAAGCAACAAGCATCCCAGGAACAAGGCAGTCAGTGAAACCAGCATTCTTGGCGCATTCAGCATCAAAGTGCAATGGATTGGCGTCATGGGTCAGCTTAGAATAACCAAGAACATCATCATCTGCAAATGTCCTAGCTTGCTTCAAAACGCTTCCGATTTTAAGCAAATTCGAAGAAGCGGAGGACGAGGAAAAGACATGTGAAGATGAAAAGAGACGTTTCATAAGCATCTTCCACAAACTTCAAAGACAATGGACAATTCGTCTTCAATGTGGTAAAGCAGGTAGGGTACCAGCTTCCACCTGTAGGTAAAGATCCAATGATACAGTTAACTGATCGCACTTCAAGATTTTTTTGATCACGAACAGATAAAGAACAATTAAGTATCTGAATGTGAGGGCTCTTTGAAACAAATCATCAAACAGTTTGTGTGCAGTCTGAGGCTTGGAATATCCTTAGTTCTTTGTACCAATAGATAGGTCATAAAATCGATCATTTTAGTCTTTTATAACTACATAAAAATCACTCCAACTTTAAATGTATGGAAAATTATTATTTTAGTTGTCAAAAAAAACAAATTTATTCTTCGGATATTCTTCGGATGACGGTATAAAGGATAATTATTATATAAATGACTCGAGATCAATTTCTCCTTAGTGTCTTCTGAATCGAATCTATCGCACAAAATTTGCTTAATGTAGCTTACATTAGAGTGGTTTACAGGCTTTTATACACTAAGGTTTACTAGCGGCGGGTTATGTGTGTTTTAAAAAAAAAATAAAGATCTATGCCACACTTTTCAGCTGTATACGGATCGGAGGCGCTTGGTAGAAAAATGAATACCTTTATGATGATCAAATCACGAATACTGTTACAACCATTGACAACGCATACCGAAAGCAGTGTGCTGACTGCTGCCAACTGTGTGGGCTCTAAGGAGATGTTTCAACTGATTCAGAGGTGTTAAAAAGTCAAAATTATAAGATTACAATAAAAAATTAAATTACTTTAGATTGAGGTTGAGGCGTGAATATCTTATTTTTTTATTTTTTTTAAAGATAATTCAAGTCTATTGCAATAAAACTTTTCAATCAGCTTCCACTTGATCCCATCTTCAGGATATAACATTCTAACCACAAATTATAACTCAACAAACTCGGAATAATAGTTGAGTCCAAAACTCCACAAAAAGAAATTAAACACCTTCTTTTAACAAATGAGAACTCTCTTTTTGATTAATTTTTAGGAATAATGCACAAGTACGCCCTCAATCTATGATCGAAATCTCAGAGACACACTTATACTATACTAAAGTCCTATTACTCCCGAACTTATTTTATTAGTAATTTTCAATCCTTTTTTGGTCTACATGGTACTACTTATAAAATAAGTTCAGGAGTAATAGAACATTAGTATAATATAAGTGTGTCTCAGAGATTTCGACATAAATTAAGGAATACTTGTGCATTTTTCTTAATTTTTATGTACTCTCTATTTTCTTGTACTCAAAACAAAACAACTGCTTTGAAATTGAGGAATTCTTCCTAGCAATGAATAGTAAGATAATGAGTATTAAATAGAAGCAATGAATAGTAAGATAATGAGTATTAAATAGAGAAAGATAAATGACTTTTAAGTCACAAGAATGGAGGAAGAATAATGAGATTTCACTATGGAGAAATAATGGCCATGGTTAACCACTATACATTCTCCCCAGGAAACACAACGGACAACAATTACATGAACTCAACGTTCTCAGCAACATTAATCATAATGAAGAATGGCAATTAAGCCAAATGATAATAAAGATGTCATCAACTGACAAAAAGAAGTAAGGCATTAAAATGTATAGTTAGGCATTTCTCGAGAACTTATGGATCAGTATAAAAGGCTCGGCCAGTTTACACATTAAGTGTCGATGGCAAGCCCTCTAGACCTCACCTGTGGATTACACTGGGTATATTATTGTTGTGTCGATGACAATCACAACTTAGATAATTGAATTTGGAACAGAATAGAGACGTACACCTATGTATAGACCTCTGCAAAGCTAAACCTATCAATCTGCAAATTGGCCATTTTGGGATCAGCGCTTGGCCTAGTGATGCTGGTGCAGTTATGAGGATGATGGATCCAAACGAATTCTGGAGTCGGTATGTCAAATTTGATATCATACATTTTGGTTTTAATTTCTAACTGAATATTTTGTACCTTTTAGTCTACCATTTAAATCATTATACGTTCCGTGCTCACTCTCAATGATCATTATACTTGAGAATTCAGTTTTGCTTAATGCACACAGTTGGAAACAGGGGCCGGATTTAGCAAGGCTCATGAGGTGTCACGTGACACTGCTTCATAGTTTTGTTTTACGACTAAACTTGTGGCGCTAATGCACAAAGTTGGAACTTGGAAGGCTCAGTAGATGAGAAGTGTGTTGATCTTGCCATTCAGGGGATGAACAGAAGTATAAAAGAAATACTCATCAATCACTTGTTAAGTTTCAAACGACTCTTCATTTTGCCTTTTAAAACATTGCTTCCTCGTGAGTTCAAACTTCAAACCCATAGTGCTTATTCGATTTAAGTGGAAACACGTCCGCGTCAAGTCAAAAAGAATGATCTTAGTATATACGATTTAACACCAAGTTTAATTAAGAAAATATTCAAGAACGTTTCATTTTTGTGGTGTTAAATAAAAATTATATCAAATGTATCAAAATATCTTTAATCTCGTGAATTTAAACATGTTACGTAAAAAATTAAAATTAAAATGATATTTAAAAAAGAAAAGGATCGTTCATTTTTAAACGAGGAAATAATAAGACATTCAAATTTATTTTATTTTTTTCTTGGAGAAATGTCATATGTATCACATTATTATTATGCAGCAAAAAGCAAGTTGCACCTGATAGGAAATACGTGTTTCTAATTTTACTAATTTGGATTATTTACCTGAATATACAACTTAAGTTTACATATTTTCCATATTTCCCTTATTTTTTTTAAAAATACTAAAATCCCTAATTTTTTAATAAGTCTAATTTAACAGATACATTATTAAATTAGAATCCTAATAAATCCTAACCAATTAAATCTTATCCCTAATTTTACTCTTTATTTTCCCCAAATAAAGAACCCATTTACACCACTCCCAAAATTAATGCGTCAATTTCTCAACGGTTCATCTTCTCAATTTTGAAAATCAAAATTTGTGCTCTCCAT